TGCAAGACGAAAGCGTTTTGCGATTTTTTTGGTTGACTTGCAAGATGAATTTTTCTATGGCCGTGCTTCACAATGAATTTATCTATGGCTGTGCTTCGCAAGATGAATTTTTTCCAATGCATTACTATGGGAAATGCATTGAAATACATTTCCTATGGGAAAATTTGGAAGATGGATTTTTCACAATATGACATGACTCGCGGAACGAATTATTTTCGTCTTGCGAGGCATCATTGCTTTTAAAGTTTTCGATGTGGGAAGGAAAGGCATCCTGGGACTGTACAGCTTGCCCAGGGCCACACAGGCTGGTTCTACTTGTAGGAGGCACAGCAGGAGATCAAACTCCCAATCTCTTGCTCCACAGTGAGAGACCTAAAACCCTCTGAAAGTTGGCATTTCTAAATTTCTAATGCATTTAAAAGTGTTACTTCATACAAGAACTACACTGGAATGTTCAGGAAGGGTGAAACACATGCTTGTCACCCCACTGGTGGCTGCTTAAGTGAATTCTGTTCTGAACTTTAACTCCAGAAGGTGTGGATCAGGTTAGTACGTATTCTAATGTATGGATATCAGATTCCTGGAGCATTCCTAGTTGCTGGTATCCAGCCCTCTGCTTGGAGGAATTCCCCTGCAGAAAACCAGCTCTTGACACAAATTAGCTGTTTAACAGACGTGTCATCCAGGGCATGTCTGCATATATCACAGCAGTGGGGTTTAAGTGAGATTACAGGACGCACATTTGCCGAATTGCCTTGTGCTTGAGCGCAGACCACAAGCAAATGCATATGTATGTTGGCCTGGCGAATGTGACAAGCTGAGATAGGCTTACAGTGCAAGGAAGTTACTTAACTCCTGGAGATGTCAAACAAGAGCTATCAAATATAATTAAAACTTTAGCTTTGGAAGGGAGGGGAGGAAAGACAGATCTGAAAGGATGAGTTATCTGCTTTACTCTTCCTTTTATCTCAGAGTAGAAGCAATTTTTTAAAGCTGGAGATAGAGCAAAACAGAAACCATCCTCATTGCAGTTTGAAGATAATAACTTTAATTCCGGCAGTGAATTACGTTTTTTCCACGGGCAATCTGACCTGCGACCTTTGACCTTATCGAAAAACGTCATCTAATGCAATTGAGGGTTGCTGAGAAGGCAAAAGGCAAAGCAGTAAACACACAGGCTCAGAATACGTTTATTTTCTTTCTTGTGCTACCATTTTTGAAAACATGACATGCATTTTGACACCCAGAATGAGCCTTGGCTTTACACATGTATTTTCCCCTCCTTAATCACACATTAGAAGGCTTCTCCCATTCTCAGATTGTGTAAAAATGGAGTTAATGGGAACGTCCCCTGCAGTGATTGACTGAACTGTCCTTATGTCACAGAGGTTATGGTGGGAAAGATAGCAAGAAAATAAGCAGTTAAGTTCACACTCAGAGGTGGAGGAACCAGTGATGCTGGCAGGAGAGACAAAACCTAATAAGACTGATGAATGAGCGAGGTCTGACTCTCATGACCTTAAGACTTCCATACCTAAGCCCCTTGTGTGCCCAGGCCAGCACTAGCAAGTACTGGGACATATATAGCATGGCACTAAGACATCATAACTTCTTTCAAGGCGTCTGTGATTGCTAGAGCTGTTGTGCTCTACAGCCACCAGTGGGGTGACAAGCATGTGTTCCAGGACAGAAGGGTTCCAGCTGAAAGCCAATCCCTTTAATGCCTTTGACACCAAAGGAAGGAATCAAGATTGGCAGGAGTAACCTTGGTCCAAAGGTATTCAAAATCTCTGGTGAAATTCACACTATGTCAGAACATGGAGCTGCTTCTCTTTGAATTGGTGTAAGAATGGCCCTGCTTTTATTGTTGTTAAGTCGTTAAGTCATGTCAGACTCCTCGTGACTCCACAGACCAGAGCACGCCAGGCCCTCCTGTTTTCCACTGCCTCCCAGAGTTGGGTCACATTTATGTTGGTCTCTTTGATGACACTGTCCAACCATCTCGTCCTCCGTCGCCCCCTCCTCCTCTTGCCCTCACACCTTCCCAACATCAAGGTCTTTTCCAGGGAGTCTTCTCTTCTCATGAGATGGCCAAAGGATTGGAGCCTCAGCTTCAGGATCTGTCCTTCCAGTGAGCCCTCAGGGTTGATTTCCTTTAGAATGGATAGGTTTGTTCTCCTTGCAGTCCAGGGGACGAAGGGTCCTGTAGATGCCTATATTTGCACTATACTTTTGCACATTATCTTATTTCTTTGTAGAATTCTCAGATGGGATAACATCCTGTGTTCATTGTCTTTAGTATCTGTAGGAATTTGAACAAAAGTAGAAAACTAACCATATAGAAAGTATTCAAAATCCACCTACAAACAGATAGAGGAATGAGTAAATCAGCAGAGAAGTCAGGAGATAAGCTCTTTAGAATGCAAAACAGATGGTGGTTCTGAAAAAAAAACAATGCATTCTCAACATTTGTATTGATATTGGCTTGGCAGCGAAGAAAGTTCTGGTGGTTTTCCATTCTTCTTGATTGATTGCTTTTACCTTTATTGTATTTGGTTCTGGCTGAAGTCAAAACATTTGTGATTCTTTGGCTAGAGAGAAGGAGCCATCCATTCGTAACACTGCCAACTTGTACAGAAGCCAGGAAAATAAAGAATTCAGTGATTTTGTTGGGCCTTCAAAGTCTGAACCCTCACGTCCTCAGTTTTTGAGGACTTCAAAACATTCTCTCAGAAAAACAGGTTGCTCTCTCGCTTCTTGCTTGGTACAAATCAGTTAGAAACGGAGAAATGACCCTGGATTTTTGCCTCATCATTGCTAAGAGCAGCGTAGTATTGTGCAATTTGATCATAATATTGGTATAATCTCTTTTTTTTTCTCTTCTTCATAAGAAGCAGCAAGAAATCAGTATCAGTTATGTCATATAGGCAGAACATGGTAGAAGAGATGGTGATTCCTTCCCTGCTTAGCCCTCAGTCTTCAAACCTATGGAGGGAAAGTCTACAGAGAGAGAACTGTTAAAAATGTTACAAATAATAAAATTGAATTGTATTAAAATTGCAGACATAAAGGTACATTTACTTACACTTGCCAACATTGGTTGGGTAGCTCCACTCCAGAAAACTTGATCAAAACTTTCTATAGTACTCACACTGGTTGAGCCCAATAATGGCAAGTGATTTAAATGGCTCAAGATGTCACACTGCTTTCCCAAGCAGTGATTGGAGGCATCCAAGAGAAAAATAGACAACCATCAGTCTGAACTGCTTTGATTTTAATTCCTGCCTTGAGCAAGGGATCGGACTCGGTGGCCTTACAGGTCCTTAAAACTCAATTATTCTGTGATTCTGAGACTTATTATTGACATGGGGTTCCCTCTTCTGTGTTTTTTGTTTTGTTTTGTTCTTGTTTTTAACAGCTCAGAGCACATGCGGTTGATATGAATGGAAACAAAGTGGAAAACCCAATTGACCTCTACATCTATGTCATCGACATGAACGACAATAGACCAGAGTTCATAAACCAAGTCTACAATGGCTCTGTTGATGAAGGATCTAAACCAGGTATCACGGAGTTATTGCAAATCATTTGACAATACAATGCTGTAAAATGTCATGTTCTATTCCCTTTCTTAGACCTTAGGTGAGGTCACTTATTTCTGTTTAAACTAGAGCATTAATTGAAGAACAGGATGTGATGGGAAATTTTAGATTCCAGGGCTAGTTCTTAAATAGACCCTTGGGCAGTAATGGGCTGTGTTATGCCAAATGTTAAAGGCGATAATGACCCGAGGTTGGCAGACCAGTGAAGAGCTGGTCTTTCAATAGCTGTTAGCCACGATCGCTCAATGGGACTGCTGTGTGCAGAAGCAATATGTTTGGGAATAGCAGATGCTGGGATTAAACAAAAATGTTGTATGTGTCTATTGGGGAACCTTTACCTTTACCTTTAATAAAGGTGATAATGACCCGAGGTTGGCAGACTGGTGATGAGCTGGTCTTTCAATAGCTGTTAGCCACGATCGCTCAATGGGACTGCTGTGTGCAGAAGCAATATGTTTGGGAATAGCAGATGCTGGGATTAAACAAAAATGTTGTATGTGTCTATTCTGATATTGCACAAAACCTGAAACCAGAGATTAAAACTGAAAACAACAATAGCAGAAATTGACTGTGTGCTTTTGTACTGGCGTGCAAAAATTATCAACAAAAATTCAGCATCATGGAATATCGTTCCTGTTCTCAGAAAGTATAAAAGAAGTTGTGAAAAGAGTTATTAAATAAGAATTAAGTTAGAGAGAACGAGCCATATGTTCAAGGTTTACCTTCATGTAGACCTCAAACTTACAGAGAAAACTGATTATGCTTGAACTATGCAGCAATACTCCAGTATCATTTATAAAAAAGTATTACTTACAAAAAGAGGTGTTGTTAGCTCCTGTGTTCTTTTTTTCAATGTTAGAATGTTTCAGATGGGCTCCCAACCACCTCTCAGATCTCTATACAGTTGCTTTTGCGTTATTTACATCTATATACATGATTTGATATTACCAAATCCTAGAGTTTAATGTGCCTTTGTCTTGGTAGAGGACCCACTTCTCTCTCCCAGAATGTTGTATTTATTCTTCTTGCTATCAATGTCATGCAGAAGAAGAGGTGCTCTTTTTGTTTTAGAATTATATCCTCTGAAGAAAGAAGTAGATCCAAAGGAAGATTTTTTAAAGAAAAAAAAAGTAGTTTTATTCATAACACTGAAATTTCTAGCTCTGTAGCAATTCCACTAACATTGAAAAAAGTTTTTTCTTGATTACAGAAATGATATTTCCGGTTTTCCCAAGGTAACAATATATCAAACATCAATGTGTTCACATTTTAACTCAATTTTCTACAAACATCATGCATATTGTACAAAAATCAGTATGTTTCCAAATATTACAATAGGACCCCCATATCCATGAGATCAGTATCCACTGATTTACTTATCCATGTTCTGAAAATATTAAAAATATTAAAATAAAAACCCTAGAAATATATATTTTTACAGATGACACTACCAGAACTGGCCACTACAGTGAGCCAGAGACCATGCATTTGCCAGAGAAATGTATTTCTATGATGTCACTACCAGACTTGGCCACCATGTTATGTATGGCATTCTCTATTGAAATAACGTTCACTTTAATCCACATGTTTCAATATCCACGGGGAGAGTTTGGAATCGATCTGCCCGTGGATATGAAGTCAAGTCTCCATTGACCTACAGTGCATTGAAAACCGATTAATCCCGTAACAGGCCATTTTTGTTCCATTTTGGGTTTTTTCTGGTCTGTAAGTCAAATCTCAGTCTGCAAGTCGAATCTAAATTTTGCGGCCAGAGAAGTCTGTAACTCAAAAAGTCTGTAAGTCAAGCCGTCTGTAAGTCAAGGGTCCACTGTACAAACTGGCATAGAGGATAGCAGCAAGTGAAAGAAGGAGAAGATACATTTATGTTCACTCTGTTCACTTATATACAGCTTCTTCTGTCCAATCACAGGATGCATTACATCATCTTCTCCATGTGGGTGTCTCCTCTTCTCCAGACATTGCATCATCCTTTCTTCTGTCACAGTGACTCAGCAGTCACACAGCTGTACATTATGGCAGCTCATTAATGTTCCCTTTAATCCATGTTCAGGTCTATAAAATTACAATACCTTGACAGCAAAAACCCTAGAAATATATATTTTTACAGATGACACTACCAGAATTGGCCACTACAGTGAGCCAGAGACCATGCATTTGCCAGAGAAATGTATTTCTATGATGTCACTACCAGACTTGGCCACCATGTTATGTATGGTACTCTCTATTGAAATAACGTTCACTTTAATCCACATTTTTCAGTATCCACAGGGAGAGTTTGGAATCGATCTGCCCGTAGATATGGGTGTCCTACTGTAGTTCACAACTCAGTAAGAACATACGTTTAAAATCATCTTCCCATTTTAATACAAGTTTTAATATCTCTAGAGACAGAGAATCTAGATAATTTAGTAGCTTCCCTTGTTTCCTATTTACTGCTTTTTTCAAATTCATTGGCAAGCATTGTGCAAGTAAAACTATATTTGTTGATGGTTGTTGTGGGTTTTTCGGGCTTCTTGGCCGTGTTCTGAAGGTGGTTTTTCCTAACATTTCGCCAGTCTCTGTGGCCGGCATCTTCAGAGGACAGCAAACTGTGCTCTGGTATATTTGTTGACTTTCTTGTATTCTCTTTCCTCTTGCTATCTCTGTGCCTCTCAAGATTCTGCTTTGGAAGGTCCCCCGCAGACCAGAAAAGATTTTGAATGAAAAATAATTTTCCCCCTTCCCACTTCTAATGATGGTTGCCATTTGGTTAGCTGGTGAATGTAAAGTCCCCCAAAACTGCTTTTTCTTAATTTCAACCTCTTATTTAAATTGAGCATTTCATTTTAAAATTGCATTACTTGTTACTCCTCAGCAGCTATGGCCATTATCATTACCGTTGCTCTGATTGCATAAGCAATTCGTTGCATTATGTACTGCTAATGTTCTTACTAAGAAGTAGGCATGCGACTTCCAGGTTTTTTTTTGGGGGGGGGGGACTTCAGCCCCAGAGTATATTCAGCAGAATTTGCTTCAGCCAGAATTCATAAGGCTTTAGCCAAGAAATCAAAATCCTTACAGGAATTTTCAGTTAAACACAGTTGAAGAACAAAGGCTCCAGCAGCCATTATCAGCTTGTGATGATGGAGCAGGAAGTGACAGGGAGGGGCTACATTCCATGAAAACTGCAAGGGATTAGGAAACTAGCAGTTTCTCTGCCCATGAGCCTCTGTACAGGACGTGTCTCAAAATCTCCTGGTCCCCTGATCCCTTACAGCTACCATGGAGCTTAACCCCTTTCAGTTACCTCCTGTTTCTTTATAATGTGCAGGTACTGGCTGCCAGAGCCTTTCCACCTGTGAAAATTCCTATGAGGACTTTAATTTCTTGGCTAATCCCCACCCCCAACCCCAGATTTCTGGCTGGAGCAATTCCTGCCAAATTCTAGGGAAATGGAGTCCAAGAAAGCTTACTAAGAAGCCAACAGAAATGCAGAAAAATATTATCTAACTCCCACTCATGGCCAATTCTGATACTGCAGCTTGGGAATTTTTATAAAGATACTGTATAGACAAGACTGCAGTGACTTCCCTTTTCACAAGAGAATAACATAAAACTTGGGGGGTGGGGAAGGTTGAGCCAAATGCCTTAAAAATACATTTAAATGCCCTTAATTTAGGTCTTACTATTTACATCTAAATAGTAAACTTTAAACTACCAGTTATATAACTTCTTATCCCAAAAGTAACTGGTTACAAATAGCTAAGTTAACTAGTTACTTCCAAGCTCTGTTATAAACAGTCAATGTGTCAATTTCTCCTTTTTTTGCTGTAGAAGTATGCATAAGATCTTAAAATTGCCATCTTCTGTCCAGTCCTAGAAACAATCAATATTTCAATTGCTCCAGCTTTCAAAAATAACATTTAACTCATCCTAATTCAATCCTGAGTTAAATATAAAATATCGGAAAGGCAGTTTAAAAGGACATTATTTTTAACCCATGGTTTTCAATTACTCTACAAATTCTTAAGGTCACATTTTTTTTGTATGGGTCTAGATCAGCCATTCTCAATGGGGGCCCCTGTGGTCCCTGGCACATTCGAAAGGGGGCACAAATTGGAAAAAAAAATTTTCCCATACCACCTTATAAGGTTTGTTGTGTGACTTCTACAATCCTGGTTCAGCCTGTATTTCTTTCATGTTGTGTTTATAGTTATGGCCCCAAAAAGGGGTCACATTTTTTTTGTATGGGTCTAGATCAGCCATTCTCAATGGGGGCCCCTGTGGTCCCTGGCACATTCGAAAGGGGGCACAAATTGGAAAAAAAAATTTTCCCATACCACCTTATAAGGTTTGTTGTGTGACTTCTACAATCCTGGTTCAGCCTGTATTTCTTTCATGTTGTGTTTATAGTTATGGCCCAAAAATAGGTTGAAAATGGCTGATCTAGATGATATTCACAACAGCCCAGTTAAGGGTGCTCTAAGAAACATGGTCGTCCTTCGATATCTATGAGATTCTGATACTTCTCCAGTATTTTTTTCAGTGCTGCAATTTTTTTCTGGTTGAAATTGACAAGTGTCATTTAAAAATGAGTTACATTTTGGCTGATTATTCATTTTTTGTTTGTGTGATTCTCTGATGAAATAAGGCTGATGACTTTGCCATTCCTCTGATACCCGTTTCCCCCCCTTCTTTTAAGGCTAATCTTTCATCTTTTAATTTATGTAATTCTTTCACATGATTAGAGAAATAAATCCCCAAATAAAGTGTTATAGCGTTTTGAAAAAGAAAGCCTGCCTTAGATTCTCCATTAACCCCGTTTCTTATTTAATAATACAGAAAAGTTGGCTATTTTGTGCTAGAAATATTGATTTTTGTGCCCTGCAATGCTATGAGGATCTGTTTCTTTTCACCATATAATAGCTGTATAAAAACTATTTTCATTAAAGGATGACCTT